CCATGGGAGTCACCAGTGATTATTAATCCTGTTCTTCACTTAGTAAATTAATTATCAAATACATTGTGCAGTTTATAAGTATATTATATCAGTGTAAATGAAAATTTTATTTTTTATTATGTCAGTGTATGTTAGCAATAGCGACGAATTTAGCGGACTGTAAACAATTGTGGTCTAAGATTAAAAGGTTTCGGTTTCGAATTGCTGTCTGTTGAAAGAAAATTTATTCAATGATAAGTCCAAGTTCAATTTGATATAATTGGATATATTTCAATGCTGAAGAACATTTCAATATGATTAGAATAGTTCACATGTAATAATGTACGTAGTTCATAAGTATTAGCATTTCGACATAAGAATACTTCACAATAGAATGTTTTACTATATTGTGTATTTACATCTTAAGAAAGATACATGCACTGACTGTTGCCACAAGACTACTTCTAAATAGAAGTGTCTCATTGCAACAGCGCTACCTAATGGCTTTTACTATTCAACAGTCAGTATGTATTTTGTTTTGCTTCCTTTCAGTAAATGTTTAGTTTTTAAATCTTTTATTTTCGACTTTTCGATGTGCTCACTCTCCCCTCGTAAGGCTGTCACTCCCCGACAGGGGGCGCCCGCTTTAGTTTGAGAACCGTTGTAGCAGAGGCTAGTAAACAATCAATCAATCAATTTCAGTTACGATATCATATTTTGTAACTAAATGCATAATTTGTAATAATAATAATAATATAATTCTTATTTCTGATAACATTCCACCTCGCTTTTCTTTAAATGCCTGTTTTGAAATTGGATAAGTTTTGGGTCTATTTTACGTTATTGATTAGCTTTCGTTTAAAATGTAAATTAAGTGTCATTTGAGTAAAGAATTCTCAAAATGTAAGCTTAGACCCCTAAAGTAATCACGTTTCTGAATTGGGTGCATTCAAAGAAATTTTTACGTTACTAGAAATGTTCTGGACACACAATTAATGAAAATCAAAAACATCCTTCTCAAATATGTGAAGGATTCAAAAAAATTTACATCCTATAGTATCTGATATTACTCCAAGTCTAAATATTTCTCTTTCAAATATTGTCCAGTTAATACGTAATAGATTCGAAAGTTCCCGGACTGAGACTATAACTAAAAAAATATTACCAATTAAACTGCTGAAACACATCCTCCTTCGAGTGAGTGAGTTAATATTAACGTCGCACTGTTCAGCTACACGAGGGCTTTTGGCGACGGACCACGTAATTTTGAACCATGGTCAAGTGACGTGGACGACACCTGAGCTGGCACCCCCCTCTCCTAACTACCACATCACACCAACGGGAGGACGTTTCAGCTCTCGACAGATTTAACGTGCATCGCTGCCCTACACGGCGGGTCTTTAGTGGTACTGGGATCGAACTCATGACATGCCTGCCATGGTTGGATACCTTAACCACTGGGCTACCGCAGCCCCACATCCTCCTTCGAAGTAAGACCCTTGAGTAACAACACACTTGTGACATGGCTTGTAAAGGTCATCGAAACATTTCTGGAATCCGTTTTTAACCATGTCCTTTAATTCAGCCTGCGATGCACTTTTAACTTCATCAACAGATTTGTCTTCGTGTAAAATGCGAGAAACGATATATTGACACTCTCTATGTGCATGTTAAGATCCTTAGTCGCTATCCATTGATATTTAGCCGTGATATCCCAACTGATTTTGCTATTGTTTGAAGCATGTTCTTACATACCGCCACAAAACCCATTTCGATGCTTTCAGCGGTGCGGAAAATGTGTGCTCTTAGAGCGTTTGTAGTCTTCGACACTTTCCCTGCCTTCTCTGAAACGTCTATGCCACTCAAAAGCTTTTGTTCGCGATAATGTATTATAGCCTTACACCTGCTTCAAAAGTTAGTAAGTCTCCAAAGCACTTTTTCCCTAACAAACACAAAAATTAATATCCATTATCCGCTCAACACACACACAAACGCAATTTCTTTCAATCGCTAACAACAGAATACATATATAAAAATACGCTGCCATGGCGTTACATCAACCACGTGATTTTGGAACAAACTTCCTTTTTAGAAAAGTGAAAGAATGCAATAACACAGAAATATTATTGTAGTCTCTCTACTGCAATATTTTTCACGTTATAGGTTCAGTCCGGGAACTTTACAATCGTACTAGTTTTACTCCTTCCTTTGAATATTATTCAGGGATTAATTATATGTAATTTTAACGAATCACGACCTTAGTAGCCATATGAAGCTTGTAATTAGTGGTGTTTGAGACAAACTGTATGTTCTAGTTTGGACTTCTATATTTATTTCTTGTATAGTGTCTAATGTACAATAAATCTCACGGGGCATTCTTAGGTAGGAAAGTTTAGAGAATACACAAACAATGGCTATCCTCTCTCAAAGGTTCCATCCTCATTACTCTCTTGAGCTATTTAACCTTCTTGCTATATGATCTTTGCATAGCTTTTAAGTGTACAGTCGATAAATTTTCTATAAATCAAGATTTAGATAAGGGAAGATAATATTCTACATTGTTTATACTAAATAAAATATTATTAAGCATATTTTTCTACTTAATGAAATATTTATAAAATGTTTTAATTATTATTTGTACTTAATAATACATACATAACTTAACTGATAAAATGTGAACATCCATAAAATGTGAACAATTTTCATCATTACACTTTTCACGGATCAAAAAATGCTAAGAAATTTTTTGAAAAAGGCTCTTATTAATGCAATGCTAATAAAAACATTAAAATAGTAACTGTATTATCAATTAGTTTCTTTAATATGTCTTTCTAACTTTATGGGAATAAGGAAATGGGTTCCAAAGGGATCATTTTTTTAAAAAAATAAAATTTTAATTAATAAGCTTGGCAACACAATTATAAAAAAAGTTATTTCTCAAAAATATCTTTACATTTGCATTATTAACAAGAAAAAAGATTTGTATTACTTAATATTTCGTTCGAAATAGAATTTATTTATACTTTTGTTCCCTTAAAACTGATATCAAAGACTTATAAAGTTTTAAATTCTGAATGATATTCTTTCAAAGAAAAAATATGGATATAAATATGATAACAAACTTGTAATTTTTTTTACCAGTTTGCTTACACTGGCTGTGTTTAGATAAATATTACTAGGAGTCATGGAATTAAGCAAATGTTAGAGCTTTCAGAAGGAAACTCTTGCAAATATTACAAACACTAATAAACTTTATGTTTTGTGCATAATTCTTTTCTTAAAAGTCTTGTTTTGTTATTTACAAATTATAAATAGTATGATTAATAAACTTATAAATTCTATGACATATTTTAACTATTAATATTTAACCAATATATAAAATAAACCTAATCCTGTTATAGATTTTTATCATGTTGACTATAGTTTATTAAAACATCTAATGAATCAGAACTTTATTTATGTATAATTTAAAAAAAACAATCATCATGCAGTTGATGTAGAATAATTATATGTAAGTATGAAGGTATATACAATGAAACTAAGCCTTTCACATTGAGGAAATGTATTTATCTTTTATTTTCTGAGTAAATGGTAAATTTAAAAAAAAAATTTTAATTTTAAAAATTACAGAATAGTTCAATAAAAAAAATTTTGAAACTTCTAAATTTTATCTTAATGGTATACGAGTTTAGATACAATTTAAGGCGCAAACTAAAAACAATTTGTTACAACAAACTTACGGAGAGAGAAAAAACTTTAAATAGTTTAACTATAGTTACTTGATTCTTATCACTCAACTTGTTGAAAAAAATTAAAGAACAGAGTAAAATGAAACATTTTGTAACATTTTATTATCCACAATACATCATTGAAAATTATTCTTAAGCAGGTGATTTTGAATTCTATAGTTATATATACTAAAGACGCCTTTTTCTAAGAAAGTCGCGAAATGTCTTTCTTCTATGAATAATACACTACTGGTTTTCATTGTATTTTTGATCGTATTCTTCGCCCTTAAGCTTTGGGTACTTTCTTAACCATATAATATGGATCAATGACAGGGAGAAATGTCACATCTTTATGGCTAAAGAATAAAAACTGCGGCTAAAAGAATAAAAAGTTGCTTTTTGATACTGCGAAGACACTAGATAAGGTTTCTGAATAGACAAGTAGGGTAAGGTTAAAACTTCATAGAATTTTTCAAGGTGACTTTGAGTTTTCTTTTATCATTTTTTTCGTAAATATATAGATTTAAATGGTATAAACTTCAATAAATCAAATGGTAATTATTTCGAATCTTAATAAATACACGACTTATATGTTAATTTATAAAATTAAATTCTGTAAAATAATAAACAATGGCAGCATTAATTTGTAACGCGATATCAATTATCTGACTTCACTTAAGAATATTCAAAATGTATTATTATGCATATCGGGTTATATAAAATTCTAATCGATTAATTTTTGTGTTGTATTGATTAATTTATTTTGAATTATTCTAGTACATGTAAACGATTTCCTTTGTAAAAAAGGGTTTTGAGAAGGAAAAGGTATAAATTCTTATTATTTTAAATTTGTTGACACACATGTGTTTCGAATATTTAAATTCTAGTAATTCTATTATTAATAAGATTTTAGCTAAAACATTCCCTGAACTCACAGTTTTTTTTAACTTTAGAGTATTATAGTCACCGATTACATTCATTTTGTATGGTTAAATCAAATCAATTTGAAGTCGGCTTGATTTACCAATACGTATAAAAATAAGAGCAACGATAGTATGAATAAAATATCCGTTTGGTCAAATTAGGTACTAAATATTACATGTATTATTTTATTTTAATTGGCATGTAACGTCTTAAACGATTGTTAAGATCTGAGATTTATGAAATTTTATTCAAATTGTAAAGAAGCATTTTAAAAAAAATAATAAATAATAATAATTAAATTAAGAAATGCATAAATAGTAACAAAAAAATAGTCCAACAGCATATACAGAAAGGAAAAGCGTTTCCTGTGTCTCTGTAGCGCAATGGGCAGCGCGTTGGACTTCTAATCCAAAAGGTCATGGATTCAAATCCCACCTGGGATGGCCTAATTACTGAGATTGTGATTTCATTTTTAATGTGTTATAATATTAGAATAATTAAATTTACTGAATTAATAATTGAAACAGACAAACAAAATAGTCCAACACCCTATATAGAAAGGAAAATGTAAATTGCAAGGAAAATTGCTTTCTATTTTTTCACAATATCGTGATTCTGTCATATGTGTATACTTATTTATATTAATTATAAATTTTTAATAAAAAGTAACTAAAGTAAAAATTTTCTTGTTGACCTAAGTAGGAATTGACTTAAATTTTTGTTTTATATTAATTGTTTATGCAATAGAATCCTATTAATCTAGTCTAATTGAGGTTTTAAATCGTCTGGATTGTTTTTTTAATGTACATCAAATTACAAATGGAATTAAAATACATTAAAGGAGAATCCTAAGAATATATATATATTTTTTTGTATTTTTATACAGCTTACGCAAAAAATCAATTTATTATTTAAATAGTAATCCAGTCTAATTGGGGTAATAATCTGTCTAGAATTTAAACTAAATAATCTATAAGACGAAACAAAAAGTACATAGCTGATTATTGTGTACAGTAAAAAGAATATGTATTTTGAAATAAGACAAAAAGTGTGTGTGTGTGTCTAAAATGATAGATAATTGCACCGTAGAGCTTTCATTACTTGCATATTGCATTTTAAATTAGAAAAAAATGACGCTCAGTTCTGCCTACACAGACTCATTTGCATTTATTTATTTGTTTTTATTGGCCGTCTGGAAGCCACAACCTGCTTAAAGGAGGCCATAATGTTATCTGTTATGGAGAGAAAATATGACGCATTCTTGGAGGACTATACAATTCTTAGAGTTCTCATTCAGTCTGATTTGCACATAAGAATAGAAGTATAAGTTCTAACTATAAGAATAATAGTTAAATAATTTAAATAAATAAACACCCACAAAAATTTTTCTTTTACATATGGCTTCAATATCCATAATAAAGGTATCCGACTACTCTAAAATTATGAATTTTGCCAAAAAATGACAAACTTTTGTTATGATCTAATTTTATAGACCATTCTATTATTTTTATATAAATACCAAGTTGATTGATTTCCTTTCACTAGAAAAAAATATTTTATTAAAAGCAGATGCCACTACTTTAAGAAAGATGTCATACTTTAAAATGTGTTTTACTCGAAATGTGTTTTTTGAAAATGTTCAAATGGGAACAGCGATTGCTTAAAACTTTTTGAAAATAATTAACCGAAAATTTTTGTGTATATTCTGTATTTTAGTAGAAATGTTTTAACCTTCAGATTTAACAATCGCTATTTTATTACAAAATTTACAATGCGACTATAAACACAGTTTTTATAAGAAATTTCATATAACTAAGATAAAGTGCTACAGTTTTTGTAAATTTAAAATATCCCTTATCCTGAAGGTCATTTCAAAAATTAATAGCAAAACAACACATCAAAATTGAAAGTTTGTTCCTAAATTTTTGTACATAGTAGGCCCCGTTAATGAATTTTTTTGCAATTTTTTTAAAAACATTTTCCCGTTTTTGTAATAATAATTATTTTTCTCATTTTAATTTTGGTATATTTTTCTTAAAATGTACTAAATAAATCTAAAAACCACGAAAAACCCCCATATCTCCAGTTTTTCTTTTTTTTTTAAGTGGTCAGAAGTAATTGGATGCCTTAAATTCAGCAGTTAAAAGAGTAGAATGTATCAGCAGGAAAGCCTGATTAAAACTTGTATGTTTTTGAATTTTCGGCTAAAGTGTAGAATAAGTGGCCCCTTGGATTTGGTGATGTTTATCAACAACAAATGGTGAGGTAACGAAATTATTCTGGTAGGCAGTATAATATGGTAACTCTTGTATTTTGAAATGTTGTGTTATGAAGATACGGTCGCATGCTTTTTTTTACTTAATTGCTATTTGTTATTTAAAATGTGCAGATGTCTTTAAAAAGACAGATGATTTTCAAAGTAAAAATTCCTTTGTTTGCTTATTCATTTTCAATTCCTATTTTTATTTATTCGTGTAGAAGCTGCAGCAACTTGAAATCGGAAGTCGTTTTCGAATATTTGATATCAAGCGCAAATTATCCGCTTTAGAAGTAGATTCTTCAAATTATCCTGATTTGAAATACCTGAAACGTATGATTGAGATTTTTTTTATTATCATTTGGAATAAAAAGGAAAAATTTCTGTGGTACAGTGATGTATGGGTAATGGATTTATTGCTGAAAATGTGGAATGTACGGTTCGCAACAAAGCTAAGAGTTTGATTAACAAAGATTCGCGAACACCGACTACATCTGAATATGCCAAAAGAAAGGAGATATTTCGCATCGTGTAACAAGATATGTTAGAACGAATAGTTGGTTTGAAGAAAATAAGCTGAGAAAGAGTATGTGCTTCAGATGCAGATGATGTCGAATATGTGTGCACAAACGTTTAACCGTGACTTAAGCCTTTTTCTTTAAGTTTTCTTATTTAGAATTTCCTATTAGTTTTTTTTTATAATTAAAACTTTATTTTAATCCATTATTGATAACTTTATAAATATTGTTGGTTCTTTTTCCACTATTCTTTATTTATTTTCACTAAAAAAGTTCTATTTTATAATCTTTTGAAACACCTGTCGTTACATATAAATTGTTTGAAGTTCGAATATGGTCACCAAAAAAATTCGCTTAGCCAAGGGGCCACCTATACTGAACTGTGACTGAATTTTCAAATTTAATCGTAAACATTACTGCTATGAAAGATATAGATTGGATGACAGAATCTAGATATATATTATAAATGCGAAAAATTGTGAGGATGTTTGGGAGTCTTTCACGCAAAAACAACTGAATGGATTTTAATGAAACTTTACAGTAGTATAGCTTATACATCAGAATAAAACATAGGCTATAGTTTATAGCATAGGCTATAATTTATAAAGATATTGTGAGAAGTGTCCAAAATATAACGATATTTGTCAAGTAAGTAGGAAAAATTCTGCCATCTGCAAGCAATTCTGGCATGTGCTGCAAAAAAGCCCACGACAGCATATGTCTATCTTTTGTTTGTGAAAGAACCCTTTTTGTTTTGGCTACGTAAGGCGCTCTCTTCTAATTAATTCCTGTGATCACAGCAGAATACCTAATTTTTTTTATTTCAGAATAAAACTTAAGTTTTGAAGGGAGAGGTTGTTATAAATCTCTTTATTTGAATGTTTTTTTGATGATTTTATTATGCACATTTGGTAGTAAGAAATTGATCTTTTTTTCAAAATAAATACTTTTATTGCTTCTGGTACTTACAGTAGATAAACTTTGTCTTTCACACTACATCATTTGGACATATTTGCATAGTTTTTTGTGGTTATTAGTTAATTATAACGCTAATATTTTAATTGAATAGGCGGATATTGCATTTTTAAGTAAAAAAATAATTATAACTACTGTACTGTATTTTTTGAAGTGAGTGAATATTAACGTCGCACTGTTGAGCTACACGAGGTCTTTTGGCAACGGTCCACGTAATTTTGAACCATGGTCAAGTGACGTGGACGACACCTCAGCTGGCACCCCCTTCTCCTAACTACCACACCACACCAACTTAGAAGGAATATTCTACCAATACTTAGCAGGAATATTCTTTGAAATCCACTCTTCCAAAATTTTTGGCAGCACGGGTTCTATGATGAGTATTTTAGAGGGGAAGGTGAACAGTGTTGCAGCAGATATGCGTTTTCAGCGGATTGAAACGATTATTATTTTTGTCCCGAAAAAACAGTTTATGTCAAAATTTAAGTGTCTTATGTTTTTGTATGTTAATGAAGACCTTAAAAAACAATTTGACCATTTTAAGTGAACGGTGTATATATAATTAATTTTACACACAGTGGAATATCTTTAATTTATTATCTCTAACGGATTAAATTTCCCAAAGTGGAGTATTTCGTTTATGTATATCCCTTAATTTTCTATGTAGTGATCCAAAAAAATATTGCATGAAAAAAACTGCAGTAAATCATAATGTGGTAGATAAAGCATTCACGTGAATCGCTCCCCTACATGGCGGGTCTTACAAAGCTCTAATAAAGCTCGAACTATGAAAGTAGCTAGACATTTTGCCAACTTGACTATCATTCCGCTGTGTTTTTCATTGAATCGCCATTATAGCCATTATAATTTAAGAAACGGCGTTGCTTGCGAATATTACAATTTTAACAAAATAAATACAACAGAAAGTAATATTAATGTATTACACTTTTAGATATAAATTATTTACACTATTTTAAGCGTTCATTACGCAAAACTTTTAACAGTGTGTTACTTTTGCTGAGCAGAGATCAGCTTAGGGAGGTATTTTCAGAAATAGACCCTCAAGAGTGTTACGGGGAATTTTAAATAAAAAAAAATCCTTTTTATCATCTATTAGATCTACATACTTAAAATTTAACAAAGGTGTGTTTTTTTCTTTCTTTTTTTTGTTTAGCTGAGATATGCAAAAGGCTTTTTTTTGTTTAATTTGCAATTCACGTAAAATTAACTCATTAAAAACTTCTTTATCCTTCAATCTGTGTTGTTTAATTTTTCAGTTCACCCGTGCGATGAACAGGTATACCAGCTAGTTTATAATAATTTAAATGAGATAGAATATTTTAGAATGATTGTCATTATGGATTATTTTCCATACATTTATTTTCTTATTTTTAACTAAAAGCAAACACATAAAAAAAAACTTTACGAAACTTCAAATCAATTTTTAATTCTAATAATTAAATTTTTCAGTAAAAACCAATTTAAACAACACAGGAAGAAGAAGTGACTGAAAGATTTTCGTTATAGATAACTTCATCAGCAATACATTAAATTAAAAAAGTTAAAATTTAAAATAAAAAAAATCTGCTTTTGTATAGTTGTATTACGTTCGTGAAACGAGATTCAGTTTTTAGTAAGATATATCATAAGTTATAAGAAAAAAATGTTTGGTTAATTTTTCTTTATTTTAATA